CAGATCATGACCGCTTCCTGGTCATCAAAGCAAGAACTTGGCTGGCAGAGAGACTGCGAACTGATGAAGGTGAAACCGATGAGATGGTCCCAGCTCAAAATTTAGGGAAAACAGAGGTGGAGCACAACCCTGTTTTTTTTTAAATACAAACCAGATTTAAAATATGCTAAAATTGGAAATGTCTTTAATTTTTTCAATAGGACTATGTTACTGGCTGTACTCTATGTAACATTCCTAATTTATTTACCATCCATTCATGGTGGTTTTCTTTTGGTGTATGGGTACATATTATTCAGGAAATATTAAAATGATGGTGTTTACAATTTTTATATAAACCACTAAAATTTTTATGAAGATTAGTAGAATATTACACATATAATTTTAAAAAATGCACTGCGCTATACCCAATCCTTAGTGCTAGGTGAATAATGATATGCCCATATTATTATTATCCAAACATCTTCTCAAAATTAATGTGCCTAAATCTGTGATCATATACAATATATTATTTTAAACCAACAAAAAAAACAAATGAGTGCACGTATAAAGTGTAAATCGTGCTTTAACAAATATTAAATAAGTTAAGTCAAAATCTCATATAGTCTCCTTTCAGTGAATATCAATCCTTAGTGACATTCCTCAAAATCTCCCAGAACGTGATTCTAGAGATATATCTCCTCGTGACTTCTATGTCCACAGTTCAACATCCACAATAGTGCCCAAATATCCAGTGTATGCAAACAATATCTCTTCCCGGCAAATCAGCATCAAGCTGGCAAAACAGCATGGTTAATGAACCGCTGCCAGGCTTCCAGATTGCCCAGGAAGCTGGCACCATGCTGCTTGAAGTACCGGTATTGGTATTCGGTATCGGCGAGTACCAAAATTTAAAGGAGAACTATGGGGTCAGTGTTTTTCCCCATAGTTCTCCTTAGGGTAACGGGAGGACACAAACTAGCGTCCTCCCGTTACCCAAAGCTCAGTATACCGCGAGCTACAGCTCGCAGTATACTGAGACGCCGCAGCCGGAGCGGATCCCGACTTAGACGACGGGATCCGCCCAGCTGCGTGAGTGACAGCTGGCTCTGCCTATCTAGAGATAGATTGTGATTGTATATGATCACAAATGTATGCACATTACTTTTGAGAGTATTGGGTATTTTTTTTATTATTATCGTTAACAGTTTACCATACCATACTGATTTTTTTACAGTTTATTTTAGGGCCGTATATACGTTATTTAAATATTTAGATATATAGTATAAAGAATACAGTTAAGTAGTGACTCCCAGTATAACTCTTGTCATTCTCCAATGCACTACATGTAAGTAAAGAACACGTGAGGATAGAGGTGGGATGGGGGGTTATTACCGTATATACTCAGAAGCCGACCCGAATATAAGCCGAGGTACCTAATTTTACCACAAAGAATTGGGAAAAAATATTGACTCGAGTATAAGCCTAGGGTGGGAAATGAGGCAGCTACTGGTAAATGTACAAAATGAAGATAGATACCAATAAAATTACATGAATATTTATTTCAAAGAAAAACAA